AAAAATGAAGTAAATAAAAAAAGAATGAAAGAAAAAAAATTAAATAAAAGAATGAAATATAAAAGAATGAAATGAAGAAATGAAATAAATAAAAATGAAATAAATAAAAATGAAATAAATTAAAATGAAATAAATAAAAAGGAAATAAATAAAAATAAAATGAAAAATAATGAAATAAAATAAGTGAAATAAATAAAAATGAAATGAAATAAAAATAATGAAATTTAAAAAAATGAAATAAAAGAGGAATGAGATGGAGGATGATGAAATGAAGGAGTGGAAGTTGTGGGGGCGCGGTGGGGTCGCAGGGGAGGGGGCGACCGGAGCCCCAGATTTGGAGTTTTGAGCCAGCCCCGAGCGCGTCTCCAGCGAGGAGGAGGAGGAGGAGGAGGAGGAAGAGGAGGAGGAGGCGGCAGCGAAGCCGAGGCCGGAGATGAAAAACGGCGCTGATTTCAATTCAAGCCCGGCAGCTCCGCGGCCGCGCAAGGCTGCGCTGCGCAGCGCGGGGTTTATGGCGCGGGAGGAGCGCACTCGTAAAAGCCGAGCGGCTTTTATGGAGTGCGGCATAAACAACAACAACGGCCCCGCTTTATGGCGCTTGATCGTTTGTTAAGCAGTTTACGGCCCTTTTTTGGGGCTATTACCGACGCAATTCCCCTCGTGCGAGAGTTAAACCTTTATCAATAATAAGGAAATTGATCATTAAAATGTTAAATATGACTACCTCGTTTGTTTTAAAATATGTTTAGGATAAGAAGCTGTATGATTTGATAACTTGTATTAAAATACCAATTACATTTATAGGACCTTTTAAAACCGGTAGCAATTAAATCGTGTTCTTTTACAGTTTTCCAAAGCGACCCTGACATTTCAAAAGGCTCAAACTGCCTCGTTAAAATTTCCAAATTAACGACTGCGAGCGCTCCTCTTTAATTTTTCCAGCACTCCCCAAAAATCAATCTTTGGGGTGGTCCGGGCGCGTGATTTGTCGCGAGGCGAGCGATATCTCATTAATGGGGGTAGTTAAACATATTTAATCCGTATATTCACCCCACCTCCTTCTCCCTTCCCCTCTCCCTCCCTCTCCCTCGCCCGCTCCCCCTCGCTCGCTTTTTCCTCCTTTATTCTCCCACACTCTTCCTTTCACAATCATGCGGTGCGGAGTCCGTGTGGAGCAGGGAGAAGCCAATAGGATGAGGTTTCGGTAATAGATGCAAATGATCATGAAAAGACACTGCAAAATATGAAACAACTCATTTGCGCCGAAGTAAATCACTGAAAACTGTTTATGAACTGGCATCTCTTCTTGGAAATGTAAAGCGAGAACTCTTTAAGTGGCGATTTTTTTTTTTTTTTTTTTTTTTTAGGGGTGGGGGGGGAGGAAAGAATTCAATATCATGCAGGCTTAGAGTTTTGATTATATCCTCCTTTTATATTCCTGGAAATCACAAACTGTCGTTGCTTAGCATCTTAGCGCTTTCTTTTTTTGCTAATAGATTCTCGCGCTCTGGTTTGTTTGTTGTGGGGGCGATTATTTTTTTTTTAATATTTTTTGGTGATTTTTTTTAAATTTTTTTTTTTTTCTCCGCCTGCTCAAAAAAAAAGGACGAGAAAAAAAAATATAACTAGAGTTGGTTTTTTTTTTTTTTTTGGCTAATAGATTCTCGTGGTCTGGTTTGTCGTGGGGGTGATTTTTTTAAAAAAATATTTTTAATTTTTTTTTTTTCTCCGCCTGCTCAACAACAACAACAAAAAAACAAAAAAAGAAAGAAAGGAAGAAGGAGGGAAAACAAAAAAAAAATCAAAAAAACAAAACAAAAAAAAAAAAACAAAAAAAACAAGAACAACGCGCAATTGAAATTAAAATGAGCTCCTATTTTGTCAACTCACTCTTCTCCAAATACAAAACCGGCGACTCCCTGCGCCCCAATTACTATGACTGTGGCTTCGCGCAGGATCTGGGGGGCAGACCCACCGTGGTGTACGGCCCCGGCGCGGGGGGCACCTTCCAGCCCCCGCCGCAGCTCCAGGACTTCTACCACGGCGCCTCTTCGCTCTCGGGCTCCCCGTACCAGCAGAGCCCGTGCGCCGCCGTGCCGTGCCATGGCGAGCCGGGCAACTTCTACGGCTACGAGCCCCTGCAGCGGCAGAGCCTGTTCGGGCCGCAGGAGCCCGAGCTGGTGCAGTACGCGGACTGCAAACTGGCCGGCGGCCTCGCCGAGGAGGCGGAGAGCTCGGAGCAGAGCCCTTCTCCCACCCAGCTCTTCCCCTGGATGCGGCCGCAAGGTGAGCCCCCAGCTCCCCTCCCGCCCCTCCAGTTTGGGTTTTATCTCATTTTTGTTGGTGTATTTTGCTTTTCTCTCCGTCCCCCGTCCTTTCTTTGGGCTGCCTTTCTCTTTTATTCCGTGTTTTACTGCTTGATGGGGGTAAACTTTTGCACTTGTGAATTGCTTTATAGTTTAATTACCCTGAAGGAGACCTTTTCTTCTGGGGGCTGAGCGAGCCGGGCTTTCTGTGGGAGGAAGCGTCCTTAAAGTTTATGGCACTTTTATAGCCTTCAAAAGCCCCCTCGTTTCTGGTCGCCGCTCGCCGCGGGCTCTCGGCCGCGCTGCCGCCCCTCTCCGGGCTGCAGATCCGGAATTGTTGGAATTTTTGGGGTTTTTTTTTGGGGGCGGCCGGGGGTGAGAATCGGTGCGCAAAGCGCAGCCCCAGCCGCGCTGCCGGGGTGGGCTGAGCGTGACCCCGTCCCTTCCCCTCCTCTCCTCTCCCTTTCCCTCCTTCCCTTCCCTTCCCCGAGCGCCATCTCCCCCCTGGAACTCGGAATTCCCTCTCCCGGCGCGGCCGCCGCCTCTGCCCGAGCCTGGTTTATGTTTTTCTCAAGCTCCTTCTCTCGTTCCCCCCCTTCTCCCACCCCAACCTTTGCCATCCCCCAGCAGCCGCCGGACGCAGGAGGGGGAGGCAAACCTACAGCCGCTACCAGACGCTGGAGCTGGAGAAGGAATTTCTATTTAATCCCTACCTGACCCGCAAACGGAGGATCGAGGTCTCGCATGCCCTGGGATTGACAGAGAGGCAGGTCAAAATCTGGTTCCAGAACAGGAGGATGAAGTGGAAAAAGGAGAACAACAAAGACAAGTTTCCCAGCAGCAAATGCGAGCAGGAGGAACTGGAAAAGCAGAAAATGGAAAGGGCCCAGGAGGTGGACGAGGAAGGGGAAGCACAGAAGGCGGACAAGAAGTAAAGGGGTTTTTTGAGGACTGAAAGGCGAGCGCGGCTGGGCTGGAGGAGCCCCCGAGCCCCCCGTTCATGGCAGTTGGTGTGAGGGAGGGCTGGGGACACACACACAGAAACAACAAACCAGAAAAACAAAGCGTAGAAAAGAGAAAAGGGGGAAATAAAAACCAAAAAAAAAAAGAAAAAAAAAAGAGAAAAAAAAGGAGAAAACCCACAAAAAAAAAAAAACCAAACCCCAACCCCGACCCCTTTTATTGCTGTCAAACAATAAAAACAAAATCGCTGCGAGCAGCGCCTCGCCCGCGCCCCGCGTACAATGAGCGGCAGGCGGGAGGCACCGGGAGCCCTCGGCTGCCTTTGGCCAGTTATTAACTAGCGGTAGTGGAACGCAATAGCTTCTGTAAAACATGACTGTGAAATAAATCCCCGCTCTCTCCCTCTCCCTCTCTCTCTGTCCTTCTCTCTGTCTCTCTCTCCTTTCCGGGGGCCTGGCGGGTGGGTTGGTTGCCATAGCTTTCAGCGCTAGACGAGTTATGTGATATTACATTCGTGCACTTTTTTTTTTATTACCTTTTTTTTTTATTTTTTAATTTTAACTTCAATTGGAGTTGATTTCCCAGCCCTGCTTTTTGTTGTGGTTTATCTGTATGTACTGGAGGTAGCTATTGAGACAAACATCCCAACAACATGAAACTGCCTATTTATGCTATAGTTATCTCTCTCCTTCTCTCTCCTCTTCTTTGCCTTGGTTAGGGTGGGTTTTTTTTTCCTTTTTTTTTTTCCAATTTTTCAATGTCTCTTCCATAAGAAAAAAAAAAAAAAAAGGGAAAAAAAAGCAAAAAAAAAAAAGCGTTTTTCTCTCCTTTAGTTAGCATGCGCACAGTGAAGCAAGTTGTAAAGTGATCTTTAGGTTAACTGTGAAAAAGAATGTATACTGTATACGTGAATTACTTTATTGGGGGAACTAATGCTATATTTTGTTGTTCTTTCACCACTTTGTTCTATTGTCTAAACCTGGAAGCGGCGGAAGAAAAGTTACAATAAAGTTTACAAGCGAGCATTGCCTGACCTCGTTCCTTTCGCCCCGCTCCGCTTCCTCCCCGCTCCGCTCGCACAGAAAGGAAATAAAAACACCCCAAAATTTGTGCGCGGACAAAAAGGCGAAAGCTCGGCCGGGCAGGGCTGGGGCCGGCAGGGGAAGGGCCCGGGGAGCTCCTGCTCCTCTTCCTCCTCTTCCTCCCCTTCCTCCCGGCTGCTGGCAGCTCCTGGACGCCCCCGCTGCAGGTAACCTCCCGTCAATTCGCGGTGGGGTTTTTCTTTTTTGGGAGGGGGATTTTTTGTGGCTTTTTTGTGGTTTTTTTGTGGTTTTTTTTCCCTTTTCTGCTGCGGCCGCCCTCCCCCGGGGCGCTCCTGGGGCCGCATTGTGAGGAGCGCAGCTGAGCCGGGGATGCTCGTAACCTTGGGGAAGGGGAGAGCAGCGCCGAGCCCGCACCATTGTCTGCTTTTCCTGCCTCGCTCGGTGCCTCCCCGCGCCCCCAGCCCAGCCCAGCCCAGCCCAGCCCAGCCGGGGCCGCCGCCTCCTCGCCCAGAATTAAAAAAATAAAAATAAAAATATTTAAAATAAGAGGGAGATCTTTGGGTTCGGGGGGTTTGCGCGCCTGTCCTGCAGGAATTGAAGCGGGGGGCAGCCGGAGGAAGCGCAGACACGCGGAACGAGCCGTCCCAGCGCTCTCGATTCCCTTCATTTCCCCCGACAAGAGCAGCGGATGCCGGCTCGGTGCGCGGCCCCCAGCCCGCGGCGCTGGAATAAATCAGCTCTGGAGCTGAATGGCGTTTGGGGGGCGGATAAAAAAAGGGACGCCTGGAAGTATTGGGGATCAATGAGACATTTGTCTTTTTTTTTTTTAATTTTTTTTTTTTTTTGGGGGGGGGGGCGAGGGTCAGGGGGGCAGGGGAGGGAGGGAATTATGGACGAGTCCGCAGAAAAAGAGAAAAAAAAAGAGAAAAAGTAGCTCCGAGCCGAGGGAATGGTGCGAAATTGAGACGGGATCAATAAAGGGATAAATAGAACTCCCTTCCCTTTCCTCCAGCAGAGAGAGACCGAGAGAGCCTCGCTGCTTCGGCAGCACAACGTGCTTGTAACCCCCTCCCCTTTCCCGTGTATTTTCTTTTTTTTTTTTCCTTTTTTATTTTTTTTCCCCCCTCTCTTTCTCCCTCGCTCCGAGCCGCAAACTGATTACAGGTTGCTTATCGACTCCAGCACGATTTCACCCCTTCCAGCGGCGATCGCGCGGGGTTTTATAGGGCATCAATTATTTATCGTATTTTATAAACCCAGCCGCACAGTCCCGTGCCCCCGAGGAGGGGGCGGCCGGCGATTGGCGCCGCAGCGGCCACGTGCCCGCGCGTCACCGGGGCCGGGAGGAAAAAGGCTCCTTTTTGGTGTAAATCTGGACTCTAATTCCGTAATATATCACGGTACCTCGTAAAACCGACACTAAAACGTCCCGACCTACAAATCACCCGGCCAAATTATGAGTTCATTGTATTATGCGAACGCTTTATTTTCTAAATATCAAGCCGCAAGTTCGGTTTTCCCATCCGGAGTCTTCCCCGAGCAAACTTCTTGCGCTTTCGCCTCCAACAGCCAACGCGCGGGCTATGGGGCCGCATCCACGCCTCCCTTCGCCGCCTCCATGCCCGGCCTCTACTCCGGGGGCAGCTCCGTGCACCCGCAGCCCCCCAGCGTGTACCCCTCGGGCTACGGGCTGGAGCCCGGCTCCTTCAACATGCACTGCTCGCCCTTCGAGCAGAGCCTGCCCGTGATGTGCCCGCCGGACGCCTCCAAGCAGAGCTGCGGCAAAGCGGAGCAGAGGGACCCGGAGCTGCCCGGCGACAGCAACTTCCGAATCTACCCCTGGATGAGGAGCACAGGTAGGGCCGGGGAGGGGGCCGGGGCTCGCTGAGGAGGGGGAGGACCCCGAGAGGGCTTTGGGGGTGGGGGGAGTGTGAATTATTCGCTGGAGGAGGAGGAGGAGGAGGGTGGTGGTGGTGGGGGTGGGGGGGGGGGGTCGTCCCCAGCTCCTTTCGTGACGTTTCACTCTCGGAAAGGGGGGGGGGGGGGGCAGGGCCGCACCCCCCACCCCCCTCCTGTGCTGGCCCCCCCCGCCCCAAAGCCGCGCTCAGCTGTGAATATTCATGGGGGCTGCGTCTGTTTGTCTGTTTGTCTGCGGACGGACAGACGGAGCCGCAGCGGCCATGGCCAGCCCCTCCTGCTGCCGCTGCCGTGCGCGCCAGGCCGGGGCCGTGCGGACGGACAGAGGGACTCGGGGGCCAAGCTCCGCACGGGGGGCGCTCTGAGCGCTCGGCGCGCTTCACTCGGGGCGCCCGGGAGCCCCCGGAGGTGTCCCGGGCAGCAGAGCAGCGCCTCAATCCCCGCTCCCCCGTGAGCAGCGCCTCAATCCCCGCTCCCCTGTGAGCAGAGCCTCAATCCCCGCTCCCCCGTGAGCAGAGCCTCAATCCCCGCTCCCCTGTGAGCAGAGCCTCAATCCCCGCTCTGCCCTGAGCAGAGCCTCAATCCCCGTTCCCCTGTGAGCAGAGCCTCAATCCCCGCTCCCCTGTGAGCAGCGCCTCAATCCCCGCTCCCTTGTGAGCAGAGCCTCAATCCCCGCTCCCTTGTGAGCAGAGCCTCAATCCCCGCTCCGCCGTGAGCAGCGCCTCAATCCCCGCTCCCCTGTGAGCAGCGCCTCAATCCCCGCTCTGCCCTGAGCAGCGCCTCAATCCCCGTTCCCCTGTGAGCAGAGCCTCAATCCCCGCTCCCCTGTGAGCAGCGCCTCAATCCCCGCTCCCCTGTGAGCAGAGCCTCAATCCCCGCTCCGCCGTGAGCAGCGCCTCAATCCCCGCTCCGCCCTGAGCAGCGCCTCAACCCCCGCTCCGCCGTGAGCGGAGCCTCAATCCCCGCTCCGCCGTGAGCGGAGCCTCAATCCCCGCTCCCCTGTGAGCAGCGCCTCAATCCCCGCTCCCCTGTGAGCAGCGCCTCAATCCCCGCTCCGCCCTGAGCAGCGCCTCAACCCCCGCTCCGCCGTGAGCGGAGCCTCAATCCCCGCTCCGCCGTGAGCGGAGCCTCAATCCCCGCTCCGCCGTGAGCGGAGCCTCAATCCCCGCTCCCCTGTGAGCAGAGCCTCAATCCCCGCTCCGCCCTGAGCAGAGCCTCAATCCCCGCTCCCCTGTGAAAACCCCGAGCGGTGACAGCCCGGCCAGGAGCGGGACGGACAGAGGGATGGATGGATGGATGGATGGATGGATGGATGGATGGATGGATGGATGGATGGATGGATGGATGGATGGATGATGGATGGATGGACGGATGGATGCATGTCGGATAAAGAGGGACGCGTTCTGCCCCCAAACCCCCGTGGAAATCCCTTAAATCCCTTTTGGAGCTGGGGGGGCGCCGGGGGCGGCCCCGCTCCCGTCCCGACCCTCGGAGCCTCCGGTGCCCCGCGTGCTCCGGCTCGGGGTGTTACCGTCAATTAACGATTCATAAATATCCCTTTCATTAATTACTGCCCCTTTCATTAATTAATGTCCCTTTCATTAATTAATGTCCCTTTGCCCCGCGCGGGAGGGGCCCGGCGCGGCCCCGCTGCCCCCGGAGCTCCCCGGGCCCGGGCAGGGCGCTCCCCCCGGCTGGCACGGCCCGTTCTGTGCCCACCGTCACTCCCGGGCCGGTCACGGTGTCCGTGGTCACTCATGGGGTGGTCACGGTGTCCGTGGTCACTCATGGGGATGGTCAGGGTCTCCATGGTCACTCATGGGACCGGTCAGGGTCTCCATGGTCACTAATGGGGTGGTCACAGTTTCCGTGGGCACTCATGGGGTGGTCACAGTGTCTGTGGTCACTCATTGGGCCGGTCATGGTGTCTGTGGTCACTCATGGGGTCGCTCAGGGTCTCCATTGTCATTCATGGGCTGGTCACAGTGTCTGTGGTCACTCATGGGGATGGTCAGGGTCTCCATGGTCACTCATGGGGTGGTCACAGTGTCTGTGGTCACTCATGGGTCTATCACACTGTCCGTGGTCACTCCTCGGGCCGGTCACGGTGTCTGTGGTCACTCATGGGGCTGGTCACGGTGCCCGCTGTCACTCCTGGGGCGGGTCACTGTGTCCACTCATTGAGCTGGTCACTGTGTCCATGGTCACTCATTGGGCCGGTCATGGTGTCCATGGTCCCTCCTGGTGTCGGTCACGGTGTCCATGGTCACTCGTGGGCCGGTCACAGTGTCCGTGGTCACTCCTAGGTCCGGTCACTGTGTCCGTGGTCACTCCTGAGTCCGGTCACGGTGTCCGTGGTCACTCGTGGGTCCGGTCACAGTGTCCGTGGTCACTCGTGGGTCCGGTCACTGTGTCCACAGTCACTCATGGGGTGATCACAGTGTCCGTGGTCACTCCTAGGTCCGGTCACGGTGTCCGTGGTCACTCATGGGTCCGGTCACAGTGTCCGTGGTCACTCCTGGGTCCGGTCACGGTGTCCGTGGTCACTCGTGGGTCCGGTCACAGTGTCCGTGGTCACTCGTGGGTCCGGTCACAGTGTCCGTGGTCACTCGTGGGTCCGGTCGCTGTGTCCGGGATGCCCCTGGGATGCCCAGAAGGGGTCCCAGGGGTCCCGCCTGGCAGCAGCACGGGTGGGACACGAGGCGTGGGCTCCTTTTCCCCCCACAGCTCCCGAGCACCATCCCCGCTCCGCGGCGGCGGAAAATCCGCGGCGGGGCCGGTGCGGAGCGCCGGGGGCCGGGGCAGGGCGGTTCGGGCAGGCAGGAGCTCCCCTCGCTCCTATTCGGTGCTCACCTCTTCCCGTTACCTGCTCCATCACTCACCCGCTTTTACAGTTGATTTATCAAAGCCCAAATATTTCTGCTCGTAAACACTTCATCCGTGCTTTTATCCGCTTCAGATTTAAGGAGCCCCCGCCTCTCTCACTCCTCTGTCAGCTCCGAGGAGCAGCACTGGAGAGGCTTTGGAGACAAACAGCAAACCTCAAAATAAAACCCCCCCCCAAAAAAACCAGGATGTTCTGGGATCAGCTGAGCCTAAAAGCAGAAAATCTCCAAAATTTCCACCTGGGGTGTAACACGGGGGCTGCCGCCCTCGCGGCCCCCCCTTCCCCGCCGCTGCCGGTGGCCGGGCCGCGATGCCGCTGCTGGAACTCTGGAATTCCGGAATTCCATCCCCGAGCAGGGATGGAGCTGTCATCCCCATTCAGCCTTTATGGCTCTCGCTCCTCAGCGGATTTTACAGCCCCGCATTCCACGACCTGCACAGTTTTACTTTACAGCTTAGCCAGGCCTATTTCCCCCTTTTTATTTTTCCTTTTTTTTTTTTTTTTTTCCTTTTCCTTTTCATGCCCGGATCTTTTATTGTTAAACAAGAAAAACACAAAAAAGGAAAAGGGAAAAAAAAAAAAGAAAAACCCGGTTGAGTTTTGTGGGGGAAAGGGGGGAGAAGAAGCAGAAGAAGCGGAGCGCGGGGGCCGCTGCCCGGGGGAAGAGCGCGTTCCCAGCAGAGTTTACACGCCGCGATCACAAACACCAGATTGTAGAATAATTCCCCATCAGGAATCCAGGAAATGTCGGGCGGAGGGGAAAATCAGGAGCTGGGCCCTTTCCAAGGCAGCGGGGCCGGCGGCCAGGGCGGGCCGGGAGCGGAGGCTCTGCCCAGCCTCGCACCCCAAAAAAGAGCGGCCTGGGCGGGAAGAAACCGCCCGAAAAGTGCCCGAAATACCCAAAAACATCCCCCGGAATGACTGAAAGCGGCTCGCACCTTCCGGGGGATGAGGGGCAGAACAAACACCGGGATTTGAGGGGATGAGGGGCAGAACAAACACCGGGATTTGAGGGGATGAGGGGCAGAACAAACGCCGGGATTTGCGGGGATGAGGGGCAGAACAAAGACCGGGATTTGAGGGGATCAGGGGCAGAACAAAGACCGGGATTTGAGGGGATCAGGGGCAGAACAAACACCGGGATTTGCGGGGATGAGGGGCAGAACAAACACCGGGATTTGAGGGGATCAGGGGCAGAACAAACGCCGGGATTTGAGGGGATGAGGGGCAGAACAAACACCGGGATTTGAGGGGACGAGGGGCAGAACAAACACCGGGATTTGAGGGGATGAGGGGCAGAACAAACACCGGGATTTGAGGGGACGAGGGGCAGAACAAACACCGGGATTGGAGGGGATGAGGGGCAGAACAAACACCGGGATTTGAGGGGACGAGGGGCAGAACAAAGACCGGGATTTGCGGGAATGAGGGGCAGAACAAAGACCGGGATTTGCGGGGATGAGGGGCAGAACAAACGCCGGGATTTGCGGGGATGAGGGGCAGAACAAACACCGGGATTTGCGGGGATGAGGGGCAGAGCAAACACCGGGATTGGAGGGGATGAGGGGCAGAACAAACACCGGGATTTGAGGGGACGAGGGGCAGAACAAACACCGGGATTTGCGGGGATGAGGGGCAGAACAAAGACCGGGATTTGCGGGGATGAGGGGCAGAACAAACACCGGGATTTGAGGGGACGAGGGGCAGAACAAACACCGGGATTTGCGGGGATGAGGGGCAGAACAAAGACCGGGATTTGCGGGGATGAGGGGCAGAACAAACACCGGGATTTGCGGGGATCAGGGGCAGAACAAACACCGGGATTGGCGGGGATGAGGGGCAGAACAAACACCGGGATTTGCGGGGATGAGGGGCAGAACAAACACCGGGATTTGCGGGGATGAGGGGCAGAACAAACACCGGGATTTGCGGGGATGAGGGGCAGAACAAACACCGGGATTTGCGGGGATGAGGGGCAGAACAAACACCGGGATTTGCGGGGGCAGCCGCGGTCCCCCCCTGTTTGTCCCTCTCCTCTCCCTGCCCGGCTGCTCCCGCACCCATTTCCCTCCAAACCACCCCAAATTCCCGGGCTCTGCATGGAAACCGAGGCAGGAACGGGAGCCTGGGAGGGCAGGGAACTTTGTGAACTCTGTTCTTGGCTCCGAGGCTGCACCGAGGCGGAGGGAAATTAAATTTGGGGGCGTTTGGGGGGTGGGGAAAACCTCGAGCAGCAGGAAAAAAAATTTTTAAAAAACCCTCAAATTAAATTTGGGGCGTTGCAAAGGTGGGGAAAACCTCGAGCAGCAGGAAAAAAAATTTTAAAAAACCCCTCAAATTAAATTTGGGGAGTTGCAAAGGTGGGGAAAGCCTCGAGCAGCAGGAAAAAAATTTAAAAAAACCCTCAAATTAAATTTGGGGCGTTGCAAAGGTGGGGAAAACCTCGAGCAGCAGGAAAAAAATTTTTAAAAAAACCTCAAATTAAATTTGGGGCGTTGCAAAGGCGGGGAAAGCCTCGAGCAGCAGGAAAAAAAAAAATTCAAAAAAACCCTCAAATTAAATCTGGGGGCGTTTGGGGGGGCTTAAAAGGCGGGGAAAGCCTCGAGCAGTAGAAAAAAAATTTAAAAAAACCCCTCAAATTAAATTTGGGGCGTTTGGGGGGGCTTAAAAGGCGGGGAAAGCCTCGAACAGCCGGAAAAAAATTTTAAAAACCCCTCAAATTAAATTTGGGGGGTTGCAAAGGTGAGGAAAGCCTCGAACAGCCGGAAAAATAATTCAAAACCCCCTCAAAATTAAAGGAAATTTTGGCCCGGGCTGTGATTTTGGGTGGCACAGCAGAGGAGCAATTTCGGGTCTGCGCAAAAACAACCCAAAAAACCAACACCAAAATAAAAACCCTCAATGAAATCGGCCCCGAAACGCCCCGAGCTGACCCAAATCTGCGTTTTTCCGGCAGGGACGGACAGAAAGCGCGGCCGACAGACCTACACGCGCTACCAGACGCTGGAGCTGGAGAAGGAATTTCACTACAACCGCTACCTGACCCGGCGGCGCCGCATCGAGATCGCCCACGCGCTGTGCCTGAGCGAGCGCCAGATCAAAATCTGGTTCCAGAACCGCCGCATGAAGTGGAAAAAGGAGAACAAAAGCGCCTGCCCCGGCTCCGCAGCGCAGGAAAAGGCAGAGGCCGAGGAGGATGAGGAGGAGTGAGGCGGATGGAGGAGGAGAGAGGGAAAAATGGGGGGAAAAAAAGGGGGGAAACGGCAAAAAACCGCATTAAAAATGGACTACGGATACAAAGAAATGAGGAACGCGTCGATGTTGAAGCCCTAGGAGCGATACCTTGCGTTTGATGACACTGAGAAATAAATACTACCTATATTAGAGCCTCTTTTTTTTCGGTTTTATTTTTATTTTTTGCTTTTTGTACGATAGAATCTCTACCTATTCAATGTGGCTTTAGAGTCGCGATAGGCACATTTCCCCCGTGTGAGCCTCCCTCTAGCAGCAGTAAATTTGTAAATCGCTGTCCTTTGTACTTCGGCTGTGTCCTGGGGGTTTTTTGGGGGGGTTATGAAGTAACGTGGTCGTGTTTAGCACCTTTAATTTAGAAAACGTGGCCCGAAAAGCCCGAACGCAAATGAGATTTAGCGCGTAGAGTCTCCTGTACATAATAGGAATTATTATTATTATTATTATCCCTCCTTCCTCCCCGCAACCTCGGCCGTTCTTTTCTCTTTTTCTCCTTGCGATGTCTCTTTTGTCTGTGGATATTTTTACCTTCGTCGTTCGAGCCTCTGTGGGGAGGGGGAAGAAAAAAAAAACGAATTAAAACACAAAAAAAATAGAGAAAAAAAGCAGAGGAATTAATATTGTGCCACGTCAAATGTTGTATATCAAAGTAGCAAATTATTTAATGGCGGCGCCTTGCTTTTTTTTGTTATTAATAATAATAATTATTATTATTATTGTTATTTTCCTTCGTCTGTGATTATTATTCTTGGAAATAAAAAGGAGAACTCCAGCAACCCGCAGCGCCTTGGGTGCCTCCCTCTTTGCCTCGTTAAAACCCCACATTTTTTGCAATAAAGGTGATGGAATTTCCCTTTACCGCGGTTTTACCACCCGAATTTCTCTCCTTTTCCCTGGCGCAGCCAATCCCTGCGAGATCCGGGTGTTTTGCCGTGGATTTGTTCAATATTCCGAGTAAAATTTGATTCCGGGGGCTCTGGGGGTGCGGGCTGGGCTCTGCCTCCTCTCTCCCTCTGTTCCTGGGGTTATCCCTGAGCAAAGCAAAAGCAAAAAGGAAAAAAAAAAAGGGAAAAAAAAGGAATTTAAAGGACCCGGAATGGGTCCTTTAAATAATAAATAATAATCAATAAATAATAAATAATAAATAAATAAAAAAATAAAATTAAAAAATAAAAATAATAAATAAATAAAATAAAAAAATAAATTATCCCCGCGCTCCCCGCCTCGATTCTCTGCCTCTCCGAGCCCATTTGGGCCCCATTCCGCCGCGCCTTTGGCCATTTTATTTAATTTCTTATTTTCTTTTTTAAGCTTCTCCCTCCGCCCTTCAATTGCTTCAGCGCGGACTGGAACTCTTTCATTAGCACCAAATAACGCCGGGCATCAAAGCGCGCATAAAATAAATTAAAGCAATTAAAGGCGCGCGGGGGGAAGAAGGAGAGAGAGGGAAAAGAAAAATATTTAAAAAATCAACAAGGCAAAACAAAAGGCGAGGAAATCGGAAATTGAAGCGTTTGCGCCTCGGCCGCGCTCTGCCCCTTCCCCGCCTTTTTTTTATTTTAATTTTCGTTTTATATTTTTTTAATTTATTAATTTATTTATTTATTCCCTCTGCGCATAAAGGCGCGGAGGCTCGGCGGGATTTTTTGCTCGGCGAGATGCGGAGGGGAGGGGATTTTTAAAAAAAATAAAAATAAATAAAATTAAAATAATCGTGAAATAAGCAAAATAAACGCCAAATTCAGGGGAGCTCGGGGAGGAGCTGGCGGTGGCAGCCCCGCGCCTTCCTCTTCCTCCTTCCTCTTCCTCCCCTCGCTCCTTTTCCACCTCCCACCACCCCCGGGGGATTTCGTGCCCCGCCGCATCCTGGGCCACGTTTGATTTTTAATTTATTTTTTAATTTTTTTGGAATTTTTTTTCCCCCAAAATCCGGCGCCACCTCAGGGAACTGCGCGCCCCCAGATTCGCTGCTGGCCCTAATTATGGAAATCCCGTAATTAATAAATGAATAAAGGATCCGCTCGCCCGCTTTTCCCCCAGATTCCCCTCTGGAGGGGAAAATCCGGGGAAAATCAGGGGGAAAATCCGGGGAAAATCAGGGGGGAAATCAGGGGAAAATCAGGGGGAAATCAGGGGGAAATCCGGGGAAAATCAGGGGGAAAATCAGGGGGAAACGAGGGGAAAATCAGGGGAAAATCAGGGAAAAATCCGGGGGAAATCAGGGGGAAAATAAGGGGAAAATCAGGGGAAAATCAGGGGAAAATCATGGAAAAATCAGGGGAAAATCCGGGGAAAAATCCAGGGAAAATCAGGAGGAAATCAGGGGAAAACGAGGGGGAAAATCCGGGGGAAATCAGGGGGAAAATCCGGGGAAAATCCGGGGAAAACCCAGGGAAAATGAGGGGAAAATCCGGGGGAAATCAGGGGAAAAATCCGGGGAAAATCCGGGACAAATCCGGGACAAATCAGGGACAAATCCCATTTTCCGCAGCAGCGCTGGGTGCCGAGCCAGGCTGGGCTGTGGGGGTGAAATCAATAAAAATCCGAAGCCATTCCAGAATTTTCTGACCCCTCTGCAGCTCCCGGAGCCCCCCCGTGCCCGGCCGAGCGGGAATTGAGGCCAATTCCAGGCAAAAAGGGCAAATCCGGGCTGGGGGCGGCCCGGGCCACCCCAAAATCCCCGCGGGGTCCCGGGGGGTTCGGAGCCCCCCAAGCGCCGCTCCCGAGGCTTTTCCTGCCTCCATTTCCCCTCCCCGGGCTCCTTTCAGCCCCTCTCAGCCTCCACGGTGCCAATTGTGACCCAAAAAAGGGGAAAGGAGCCCAAAATCGCCATCCCCGCTGTTTTACTGCGCCTGTCCCCGTTTCCGTCCCTCCCAAAGCTGCGGCTCTTTATTCTGGGGGGGTTTTATTGTTCGGGAATTTCAGGCGCTGGTTCATTTTTTATTTTTTATTTTTTTTTTTTTTGTCCCAAAGGATCCCCCCCCATACCCAAGCCAAGTTTGGGGTGAAGGGGAGGGGGAATGAAAAAAATAAAACATTTTTTAAAATTCCCTTTTTTCCCCTTTTTTTGATAATTTTTTTTTCCTTTTAATATTTTTTTGGTGCGTTAAAAAAAAAAGAAAAAAAAAAAAAGATGGCGGCTAAGAAAAAGCCTGCTGTTAAACCGGTCATGAAGAAATGCAATAAATTCCTTGTTGTTTTATGAAAATTTACAACTTTGTGATAGAACTTTATGAGTGGCTGGGTTCTGGGATTGGCCAGAGCCGGTCATGTGGACTGCTAACCGTGAACATGAACTTTTTATTATTTCCCATGTGGTTATATTGCACCATTCTTCTGTCCGCTGCACCTTGGGTCGGATCAGTGTCCTCCGTAGGGCTCTCGCCCTCTCTCTTTGCGTTTTTTTGCTCTCGCGTGCGCGCTCGGCGGGGCCGGAGCGGGGCAGAGGCGCGGGGGGGCCCCCGGAGCCGCTCGCACCCCCGGGCTCCCCCCTCGGCTCCATCCCAGCACCTCCGGCCAATTCCGCTTTTTTATTTTTATTTTCTCCCTTAATTATTACCGCCGCTTTGCCCGCTATTTTTAACATCATTTTTTAATATTTTAATTTTTTTTCTCTAATTTTTTCTCTAATTTTTTCTCTAATTTTTTCTCTAATTTTTTCTCTAATTTTTTTCTCTAATTTTTTCCTAATTTTTTCTCTAATTTTTTCTCTAATTTTTTTCTCTATTTTTTTTTTCTCTAATTTTTTTCTCTAATTTTTTTTTCTCTAATTTTTATTAATTATTATTTTTAAATCCCACCCCCCCCCTCACCATCTCCACCCCCCACCCTGAGTTTCCCCCGCTGCTTTTGGGATCTCGGTGCTCACGCAAGGGCAGAGGCGACTCCGCGGCACCGCCAGCGCTTTTTGCTCCTTTTTTCCGCGCAAGGGACGGGAAAATGCGAGCGGCCCCGAGGAGCCCGGGGGGCGACGGACGGCGCTGGGCTCGGGACAAGCCTTGGCAGCCGCCAGATAAACCCAGGCTTAACCGCGCCGGCCCAAAATCCCCACCCCTGCCGCAGGGAAGGACGGCAAAAGGTAAGGGCAGAATGCGTTTCTCTTCATTTATTGTTATATATGTAGCTATATGTGGTTTTTATTTTAATTTTTTCAATGTAAAAATGGATTTGTCGCGATGTTTTTATATTTTTGTTTTTCTTGTTTCGTCCCCATCTCCTGCCTGGGGAGGAGGTGTTGGAAGGGGGGGATGGAAAAGGGTGGGGTGGTGAAGGAGGGAGGAATGAAAGGGTCTGGAAATTTTTGGAAATCTGCTCCAGCGGGGAAAAAAAAAAAAAAAAGCAGAGATTAGAGGTGAGGAAAAGAGAGAAATAAAGGTGGAAAAATTAAAAAAAAAAGGGGAAAAATAATCGAGAGAGAAATAAAGGTGGGGAAAAACAAAAAAGGGAAAAATAATCGAGAGAGAAATAAAGGTGGGGAAAAACAAAAAAGGAAAAAATAATCGAGAGAGAAATAAAGGTGGGAAGAAAAAAAAAGGAAAAAATCATCGAGAGAGAAATAAAGGTGGGGGGAAAAAAAAAGGAAAAATAATCGAGAGAGAAGTAAAGGTGAGGGAAAAATAATCGAGAGAGAAATAAAGGTGGGAAGAAAAAAAAAAGGAAAAAATAATCGAGAGAGAAATAAAGGTGGGGGAAAAATAATCGAGAGAGAAATAAAGGTGGGGGAAAAATAATCGAGAGAGAAATAAAGGTGGGGGGAAAAAAAAGGGGGAGGAAAGAAAGAAACCGAGGGGAGGAAAGGAAGAAATAATGGGGAAAAAAAAAGGAAAAATAGAATGAGGAATGAAAGGGGGAGGAAAAACGAAGAAAAGAAATAGAAAAGAGGAAGAAAAAGGCAACGAGGGGCAGGGAGGAGGAGCAGGAGCCGGGTGAGGGCACCTGGAGGCAGCGGCCGAGCGGGG